ATCTTGTGTAGCTACTCAAATATATTATTTCACATTCAGATACATAAATATATCAATTAGAAAATATTGAATTTATTTTTTTATAAATAACAAATACAAAAAAAAAAATTTATTTATTTAATTGAAAAAAATTAGAAAACAATTGACATGTGTACATTATTAAAAAATAACAATGCGAATAAAATTATAGTTTGTAAAAATTTTTGCTGATGATTTCAATAATTTTGTTTTTTTCCAAAGCATATCTTTAATATGATCAATTTAAGAACAAAAAAAAAATCAAATCTTCTCTTCAATTTACATATACTCAATATCTTTTAAGCCAATACAATTCTTCATTTTCAAAAAAAAACATGAGTCATTTTTTAGACGTGTCCTCCTCAAGGACATCCATTACCAATGCTACTTTTCCTCCTCGTATTACCATTTAATCCAGATTTCCACTTTGTAATATAATTAAAATAAAATTCACATTTTTAGCAAAAATATAAAATAGTTTGAAATGAATATAATTCATAAAATAAAAAAAATTTTTTTTTCGATAGAATCATTTTTCATTATTGTCAATATTTTAAAGAATAAGTTCAAGTAGTTTGACACAATTAACAGACATACTGTCAAATTAGTCATCGTTGTTTTTTATTTTCTATGGAGATAAATATACTGACGAAATTTTGTATTCATGTCAACAAAGCAGGACTGTGATATGGATAAAAAAAATCAGCACATGACACAATCCCTTTGATGACACAAAATTTTTGTAAACGTCGATTTATGTGATTTCCATTCCACCAAAGCTGGCTGTGATATGATTTTTAAATTTTTTTCTTTTACACATAATCACAACCATTTGGCGGAATAGTTTTTTATTCACAATATAAAATTTTCAATATTTTTTTTTTTGGAATTAATAACATATTCAAAATAGATAAAATAGGAAAAAAAAGACATTCTTTGGAAAGACAGACTAGTAAGGTGACTAATCATAAACCAACATCTCACTACCCATGTCTTTCATAGAAGATCTTTTTAATATAAATCGATTTACCTTATCTCATCGTTTCTTTATGATCGAATCTTGGATGACCTTACCCGTTGGTTAACGTTCGGACAATGTCTGACATGCATCTTCTTTATATAGGCACAGTGTAGAAAAAAAAAAAGAAGAAGGAAATGAACGCGGACGAGAGAAAAAAAATACATCTGACGGCCATTGTTCTTGCTTGACCCCGTCCTCTTTTCTATCAGCCAATTGGCTCAATGCCCATGAATAAAATTTTTTCTTTCCTACTTGGCGACTTTCCAATTTCCTTATCCTTCTCTTGTCGATTTTTTCTTTTTTTTTTTTTGTATATGCTGGTAACCGACGGGCATATGTGTCAAATTTTGACATAGATGGGAGGAATGGTGGCGCCCGTCGACGGTCACATGAGAAAGAAAAACAATTAGAATTGTATGTGTTCGATGGACATGTTATGCGATTAGACAAAACAAGCGAATGAAAGGCACATGGCAAATATTTGTTTCAAACAAAATGAAAAAAAAAAATGAAAAATCAAATGAGAAAAATGAATATAGCTACTAGCGACATCGCATCCGTTTGTTAGATATTACATTTAGATGAGATATATAAATATAACATGTTTTAATCGATTAGCGATTCAATGAAATTTTCAAGAAACATGATTTGTTTCTTGTTTTGCGGATATATATTTGATGAGTGAAATACATTTTAACACTGTATGTGGTTATTTTTTGATCGGTCATGAATATACAGAATAAAATGCATCCATCCAATACAAGTCAATGATAGAAAAAAAAAAGGATGAAAAATTATGTTTCTTTCTATTCGATTTCATAGAAATAGATATTAAACATTGTTGTCATTTGTGATATGTATGATCAAATTGCCATAATATCTCTTATTACTTTCGTATTTATTTCAAAATGTCTATATTCATTAAAAAAATAATGATAATGAGACAATATTATCAACAAGAAAGATCAATTATTATCGTTTATATGTGTCTGTAGTATTTGCATCTTTTACTTAATGGATATTTTCGTGTTGATGTGATACAAACAATTTTTCATAAAAATTGAGATTTTTAAATCGAATGAAATTCGTTTAATTTATATTCTTTTAAAAGCAGATCATATTGAAGAATGATAAGGAATATATCGTACATAGACGGTAAATAAAGATCAATATGAAGAATTTATATACATAAAAGTAAAACAAAAAATCGTGGAAAATTCGTGCTACATAATCTAGTTTGGAATCATGACTATTTGCCAGGCTATTATTGGTATAATTTTTATCATTATTTTCAAAAAACTATATCTTGAAAATAACGGTAAATAATTCTCCATAGATTTAGTCACATTTATATAGAATTGTTTATCAACGCAATTTGTTTAGTCTTGAAAATTCAACAATTATACATGTATAAATACAATGTCAGTAATATCTATTAATTTTTTACAAGATGTAATTTATTGATGTATATAGCAATCGAATATACTCCTTTGATTGGTAATTTGTTGGTTTCTGATTCTCTTGCTAGTACAACAGCAACAGTTCAATGTAGTTCTTAGTCAATGGAATATTTACAATCATTTGATGGTAGTTGCTCTTTACATTTTCAATATCAGTCACGTTTAGTTATCTATGTAACATCAATGCATACGTGATGTTTATATATGGAGAGAAATTCTTGATCGACATTCAATAATTAACCAAGCAATAAGAAAAACAAACAAGCAAAAAATGTATTGCATTATTAATATTAGAATCACAAAAAAAACATGATCAATATTAGAATAAATGAAAAATGATATAATTCATAAAGGAATATCAATTAGTGTTTTAAATCTAATGGAAGACAAATTTGATTAATAGATAATGAAGAGAATTCTCTTGAAATATATTCTTTGTTTTTGTTTTGAGAATTCATAAGAAAAAAATACGGGATATGTATGCATCAAATGTAACAGCTACATTAGCTTCTTTAAAACTCATCTTGATTCATCTTCTAATATTTCAGCTGTACCTACATTGATATACATCGGTGAAAATCCTTCAAATGAACCAAAAAGAGAACTAATCAAAAGAATTTTAAGAAATAATTGAGAATGATAAGAACCTAATAATAGTAATGCAATACATTTCGTACTAAAGTGTTACATAAATTTCATTATTGCAAGTGTAACTTTCACCGAATATTGGCAGAGAAGTCCATGGAGACAGAAGAATAATATAATAAGGAACAGATAAGCGACGAGAAATAAAAGCTTGAATGACTAGTGCAGACAGACCGCCACAAGTTACATCATTCATAATAAGTAATGGAAATGATGAAATATTATTGCAAAGAAGAGCATGATAGCAGTAGTGGATATTAGATGTTCAGGACTAAGTCAATATTTTATGTGAAGAATAGTTATATTAAAAAAGTTCAGGTAAATGCCATCCGAGTCGACGATAACCTGTAAGAATAGAAAGAAGAATCGATCATACGTCGAAATATAATAAACAAAGCTTACTATAAAGATTACCTAACATATATCCTCTACGATGAAAATAAAGTAATAATTCATTAGCATTTCATTGGAATTTTCTAGCAAGATAATTACTCCAGTAAGTTTCTACTGAGTATCTATCATGATCAAATATTTCTTTGTTGATTTGATATTGCGATGGTTTCGGAATTATGGTACCCATGGTGAAAATTGAACGTGACTCTTTGATTTGGATAATTGGATTTATTTATGGATCATTTTCTGCTATCAGTTTCATACGTAGTATATTTTTAAAAGCTCGATATTTTGCACTAACTATTCATCATACTTAATCTGTCAGTAAAGGATGTTATGTTGAAATATTAAGTATAACAAATGAAGAATAAGCTATTGACGATTTATTAATCCATATGGACAGGAATAGCAATAGCCCGAATCAAAACAAATAAGACCAACTTTCTTAGTAGTCAAAAGAAGAGCATTTAGATAAGACATTATTTGATTTGTCTAAAAAAGCAAATGATTTCTTCCTGTCATTACTATTTATTGTACTGCATTCATCAACACTGATCCATCGAATAAAGCACGTATTGTTTTTTTTATGTCGCTATTTGGATGCTTCTGTATCTTATATTCCTGATGATGAAAACATCTTCATTTTATATTTTAACAGCACAAAAGAGGTCATCAGTCATACAAAAGGATACAGGGGTGGATGTGGTGGAAAAGAAGATCTACACCGATACCACCTCAGTATGCATTCTAAAGAAACACTTTATATATTAGAATACAACGATGGTAATTGATAAAAAGTTCAGGTAAGATGATAAAACTTCCAATAAGCAATAAGTTTCAAAGATAAGAAATCTAGATTAGAGAAACTGAAGAAGACAAATATAAATTTTTAACGTTACCCTTTATCCTTTTAGCAATTTTCTTTTCTTCAATGATAGAAACATAGACTATCTTTAAAAGAATTGATGCATGCTATTCTATCAATCAGCTTACACAATGATCTATAGAAAATTTATAGAACATGAAAACATATCAGAAAATTTGGTGTGAACATTGTTCACTGTATATTTTTCAATACAAAAAAAAAGTACCACCTTACCGATACTTTTCTCTTTCTGTCTATAATAATTTAATTCAATAGATTTATCAAAATGAATAAAGTCATTTTGTTTAGAAATTCCATAGGAATGAGATAGAATAAATTATTCGTAAATAACTATAAAACTTCTTTCATCAGTAAATAATTATAGACTTTTTGTTTCTTTCATAACATTAAAATTTTATATCGTATATACTACACAAGAACATTTTGAAATATTTTGTTGTCAAATTATTATTTCAACATTTTGTAATCTTGTTATCGTCCAATATGTATGATGAATATGTATGTTTAAAATTCAATACTATTTATTAAAATCGAGATTATTCAGACAACAAAGAAAAATATCTATTGGCTACAAAGATTACTGTTGTAATGTATTAGTAATAAAATCAAACACATCTGTGGGGCTACTAGTTACATGAATTTTAGGGTGTGATAATTTTGCAGCCCATTGTTGATGATAAGTTTTATTCTGACAAAAAATAATGATCGGTAGAGATGATCGTATTGATCGACATTGTCTTACAAAGTCTTCACCATCATCTGCTCCGTTCGTTACTATAACACATTTCATAGAGTCATTATTCGTTAATTTAATATTTAAGATATTGAGTGCTTCAATACTTGTTTGTGTACCATAGATATTATAAGTATACCGTTGTGTCATGTCTTCGAATATAGAAGAGTTAAATTCATTTGTAATTTTTGCATCACGCCAAATAACAAAACGAGATACCTTTAATAATCCAACAATATACAATGGTATAATTTGATCGCTCTTCTTAATAACAAATTCTTCAAAACATGGAATTTCTCCTCTAGAAATAGGATCCCCGTTGATTCTTATGGGTATATAATGAGTGTCGTAATCGGAATGCATAGGTTTACCTTTATATTTCATGTCTGTAACAGTTAATATTTTATCCAGTCGAACAAGACTACATATTAGATAAGAAAAAGCTGAATTCGATTTAGCATAATTTAAAGCTTTTTCTGGCGAGCTACTAAAATAAATACCTTGTCCATACCAACCTTCATCCGTTCGTTTTGCTTGAGAAATATATTGAAAATTTTTTTCGAATATTCCATTAAAATTAATCGTATTTGTACCATGAAATAAGATTTTCTCGTTTTTATCAGTAGTTGTTAAGCTTTGGTATTCATGATAAATATGTTCATTATAAACAATCGAAGCATGATCAATAACATATTCATCACGACACGATTGAATCGATTGTATAACACATGTATGGATTTGACGACTCTTTTCTTGCAAAAATTTCCAACTGGTATCATTGATAATTGCAGGTCGTTCGCAAAGACGAAGAGCAACATCAATCTCTTCAAAAGAGAGAGAAGTTTTATCTTCAATGACCTTTTCGTTAGCAAAATTTTCCAATTCAACTCTTATATCACTTGTCGTTGATGTTGTATATTCATCAACAAATTTTTTACACTTGGGTAAACACATAAATAGTAGTTTTCTTGCAACTTTATTTACTATTTCTGAAGCTTGTAATAATTTTGTTCGTAATTTGATCATAAATTTTGTACTACCTTTTTCTACATTTACAATAATTAAATCAGTTCGGTTGATCTCAAGATCATCTGCTAAGCAATCCAGAAATACATTCCAATCGAATTGATTTGGTGATAGGGGTGCCGTTAACACTATTGTTGGAAGTGAATCAATTGATTGTTTTGAACAATTTGGTAATGGAATCAATACTGTGCCACTATTACATAATGATTGAGAAACCGATGATGAATGTTGAATAATTTGTTCAGCGATTTCCTTCACAACAGTCGGGCTAATATTATTTATGGTAGATGGCAGAGGAATATTGAAAAGTTCATGATAAGAAATATGTTCGGGTGATGCAAGAGAAATTTGTGTGCCAATATGTGTTGATGATTGAAGAATCTGTATATATTTTAAACGAACTTCTGGCAGATCTTTTGTTGAATTCGATGATTTATAGAGACCAGATTGATAGATTGTGTCATTAATATTTAATTCACGTGAATCAAACCATAAGTAACAATTGTTGCAGATGTTCGCATTGGCTTGTCGACAAACATCAGCAATCACTTCTTTCACTGTCATATTTTGATGTGTACGTACTCGATAAAGAACATCGGTCTGTCGAAATCGAACTGTTATATTGTCAGAAACATCCAATGGAATTATGATATGTTCACTTTCTTCTAAAACAAAAAATATAACATAAAAGTATTTTTATATTTTATCCCAACGTGAGACATGATCCTTTGTCATTGACTCGTATCTTTAGAAAGTCTAACAAATTAAAATTATCGAATTCATAGAATTTATTAAGCCTCTAGGACGAAGAGTATGATATACTTGATATTGTTTTCTATTATCCATTTAAAAAAATTGGACTCGATTGTTTGTTGAATAACTCGATAATACTGATAGCTATCGAGCTTGGGTTTCCGTTGTTAGAAAGAGCATGGATGGAGGTATAAGTCTATCTGAGAATTAAAATATTTGCAAAATTTTCTAGGAAATTCCAAGGATTTTTTTGGAAAATCGCTGTCTGATTCGCTTGATTATCTGTGTTTTTAATTTCAATTTAGTCATATTGTAGCCTAATGTCTACTTTAAAAATCCCGAAATTATTAGGTGTTGTCGACCTTTGCTTAAAAAATAATGACCATTATTACTGATTTTGCGACTCTTTCCTAGGTATTTACCGGAAAATGAAATTACGAAATTTCGATTTAAAAATTTGCTCATAGAATATCCTACAAGTTTTAGTCAAAAAGGATGTTCCTTTCTCGAGATATTGGATTTTCAATTTCACTTGAAAATACATCTAATCAAGCGAATCAGACAGTGATTTTCCAAAAAAATCCTTGAAATTTCCTAGAAAACTCTTCAAGTATTTTGATTCTCAGCTAGACCTATACCTCCACTCATGCTCTTTCTAACGATGAAAACCCGAGTTCGATAGCTATCAGTATTGTCGAGTTACTCAACAAACAATCGAGTCCATTCTTTTTTTAAATGGATAGTAGTTATTTTTTCTATCTGATTGGACAAGTGTGCACGCACATTAACTACTATAAACGAAAGGTACGGTATTTTCTATAATTTAGTAGAATATCATTTATTTGTATAGCAGTATTCAGTAGAAGATCAACACAGATATTATCTGTGAATGCTTTTCACATCTCTACAATAGAGCTTCTTTTTACTGTTTCATCAAATAAAAGATCTCATAACCTCTAACATCATTGTATTCTCATTTAGTTAAAGAAAAACAAAAGATAGATAACGATCTACTGTGTATTTCCATTTTGTAGACAGACATTCCTCATCATAAATATGATGTATATTAGGCAGTACAACTGATGAGGAGGGTTTTTTTCGCATACTCTTTGATAATTTGTTTTTATCTACATCAATAAAATCTCAGTATTATATATCCAATTCATGCAATGTTCGGCATTCTCAATAGTATTTCAATTTCTAATGGAAGTGTTGAGTTGCAAGTATCCATGTATTGTGATAATTTCCAGCGGAGTATCCACATGCAAGTACCCTGCTACAAATATGTCACTGGATTTGTATCGGATATCCTGGTGCAAATTATTCTAGTAGATAGGTACTTGCTTGAATACTTGTATCATTCTAAAAAAAACTCTATAATGAAAATGTCTTAACAATTTTATGAATTCAACACCCAAAAGTATTTTAGTCATGAAGTGTTCGACTACTTATAAATTATCCATAAGAAGCTAAACCTAGCCAACTACTGGCAAGTACTTGTGACATACTAATAACGGAGTACCTTTTTGTACTAGTCGAGTATACCTTGAATTGAGTACTTGTAATAGAAACTGGTTGCAGTCAGTATCATGCAGTTCTACTTCTATATTTCGCATTTATTAAATTTGACAAGTTGTCACAATTGACTTGAATTCTCAAGAAAGTATCATAGACATATTACCGAAACAAAGATATTCTCTCCAGTCATTGGAAGATCAGGTGTAAACATATTTTATTGAATATCTTTCGTTTTTATAATGAGAGCAACGATAGGCAACAGAAATGGCAAAAATTGCCCCGCGCCTCGTCCACCTATATCTCTTTTTGCTCTACCAATCAGTTTCTCAAAGTCCTTCAAACATCGGAAGGCTGCAAGAACGCACTCTCCAAAGCTCTAACCAATATAGCATTCGCGTGAGTGGCATCATGAAGCGAGTTTTTTCATCTTTGATAGGCAATTACAATTGAAGACAGAAAAGGAGATATAGTCAAAGAATGTTTACCTTGCTCGTTGTATTGTTTATTACAAGTTGATTCTGACGGCATATTGGCAAATAATGTATTTTTTTGCTTTAGAAAAGATGAAACGTTGCCTAATAATCTTATATAATATTTCCACGGTATCTTGTTCCGAATTTTTTGTAAACCTACTAACCAACCATGTTCAGTAATATCATCTAATATTAAATCATACAAATTTTGTTCATCCACAATATTGTTTTGTTTTAATAGTGAAAATACTGCTTGACGATTATATTCACGTAATGCTTGAAATAATATTGACTGACTTTTATTTAATTGTTCATTCATAACATCTTCAACAATATAATCAGAATAATTTGTTATTGCTTTTAAACCATCACTTGTTATTGAGAACCATAGATCATTGAAGATATTTGTTTCTTTCAAACATTCATCATCAATACACTCAAATAGAAGTTGTAAAACAATTGATAATATTGGATCATTTTTCATATACATGTTTCCATATTCAGTTGTACGAGTTAAAATATGTTCATATGTATAATGATTTTCTCCATTTTGATATTGTCTAAGAAATGAAATAAACCATTGATGAGAAATACCATATTGTGTTTCCCATTTTTGTTGAAAATATTTTTTTAATAAGATAATCAGTTTATTATCATTGCTATTCATAACATCTGTATAGATTTCGTGTGTAATATCTTCTTGATATTTAACTAATGATTCTCGACCATTTTCTAACAAATCATTAATGATTTCATCTTTATTTTCATTATCTTCTAGCTGTAAAACATCTATAATTTCATTCGTAATTGATGTTATTGTACTTGCGACAACAATGGAATTGTCATGAATTTCCGATAGAGAAGACTGCCTTGTTGAAAAATCAAAATATTGTGCCATTGGAAATTTCTTAAACTATTCGGAACAATTAAATTCTAAAATGAGTTCAATTAATTGTTTTGAAATAGGAGATTAATAAGTGGAAAAACATAGTTTATCCCTGTTCGCTGGACCTTTCTTCACACTGCAAGCATAATTTAGCAATGAACTTAAACTTTTATTTTTCAAGTAGGTATGAAAAGTTGTATAAGAAAGTAAATCTCGAATATTTAATCTGAAGGTTTCTTCTGTTCTTTGAAAGTAGGTATTTTATTTACTAGATTCTAAACTTTATTTTGATTTACTCTGCTTGAGTGCCTCCCATCATAAATCTATTTTTGTTCTAGAACAACCAATCAAGCTGAAAATTTCAGAAAATGTGAGCTTGGATCTAGGAAGCTTACAGTAAAAATATCAACCCAAAATGTTGAATTGTTCAAGAGTTATTTCTATATGAAGAGCACCAAGTAGGTCTTTGTGCATTCCAGATTTCTTTCCCAAATCTAATGATAAAGATCTCTGGTTGACGTCAAAATGTAGCCAATACTTGCCGCTAAAATTTAACAGTGCCTGATTTTTCAAATTCTTCTTTATCAATTTTTGGCGTCAGTTTTTTTTCAAAAAGCTCGAAAGATTAGAGGTAGTCCTATGAAAAAAGACCCGTTTTTATCAAGAACTAATTCAAAAATAAAAACTTCGACTCTGTTAAGTTGTGGAGCACAATTTTCTCTTCAATTTAAAACTTTTTTGAAATTCCTAGCATGTAAAATGCCTGAGAAATCTGAGACGCACAAGTAGAAAAAACCCTCGCCTTGAGAAAAACGCCAAACAAAGTTTGAAATCGAAAATCCATGTTTCTATTTAGTAAAACAGGAGAGGAAACATATTGATCGGAATCTACCATGTGTTATCGACTATCGAGGATCAAATGAAGACTTGCGAGCACTTGTACAGAGTCTAAAAACCTGAGTTTAGAAAAGAAAAAAACATATGAGGCGTAGGTGTATGGGTGCAGGTATTTATGTCACCTATCCACAACCAACCATATCCATTTATACTCATACCACAACACCAGCTGCTTAAATAGACGAAAAATGAGGAGACCAAAGGAATGAACGTAAACACGAAAGAATGGAGCCGAAGATAGAGAAGTAAACACATATTTATGTCAGAAGGCGTCTCTTCTAACATAACACTGGCAAAATAATTACATAATTAAATGAATACTGGTAGGACAAAAACTACAGGACACAACTCCATTTATTTGAAAGCTTGCAGCACTTCCTATTCTATACGTTTTTGCTAGATTCTTCGCTATGAGAAATATTAAAAGAAGTTCGAAAGGCAATAACAACTAACATTTTCCAAAAAAAAAGAAAACATTCTCCCTGATTCCAGCATCATCAGTAAAACCGTGAAAAAGCATCAAAATTCCGATAAATCATACTCTTTGCGAAAGTAGACAACGAGAGTTATCGAACCACATAGAAATCTCAAAATCGATTTTGTTTACGAAAATTGTGGTTTTTGACGAGAAGGAAGGACCTTAATTTTCATCATCATTTAATCAGTGTTAAAAAATATCTTACCGTGTTAAAGTTATAGTGAAGAAGTTTTTGCTTCCAATGTGAGAATATATTAGGTGAGACATATTGGGTTTTTTCCATGATAAAAAGAATTCGTTTGGAAGAATGAAAAAATCGTTTATTTGTCGTAATTGCATAATGAGGCGAAAGAATCGTAAAGCATATGACTCACACTCATTCCAAGAGGAAAAAATAACTAATAGAAATGAAAAAAGTCTTCATGAAATATAAATACAAAAAGAAACCTATTGTCCAATAATATACATACAAACTATACAGACTAATTTTCTTTCTTCAATTGTATTAGTAGAATGAATATATGATATATTAATAAAAAAAAAAAGAAATATTATTAACATAATTATTTAGTACAATATACCTAAAAAATTAGTATTTTGTTCAAAACAGTCGTACTATAAATAAGTTTAAGTTTAAAAACAACGTTATTTCATGAAAACAAGCGAGATAAAGCCAACAGAATGACGTCAAAGTGAACAGAAACAAGAGAAGTCAAGTCAAACAGTAGAGCTGGAGAATGCATTCGTATGTTGAAGCAGTACTATCAAAGAAAATCAAGGGAAAATGAAGTATCAACAGATGATTGGAATTCGAGAAAAATTGCACTGAACTCTTTGATAGAAAAAGTTTTTCTGTGTTGATGCCTTAATAGCGTTAACATAGGTGATAATAAATTTAAAATTCTATCAAGTAAGGAATTTGTCATGTTCTGCTACTTGTTCTAGAAAAAAACCTGGTTGATTATGAGTCTTGGTCAAGCAATTTTACGAACATCCAAAGATGAAGGACACAGGAATATCAAGAACGGATAATTTCCGAGGTTCATTCAACGAATCATACGCTTGATGATAACCGTTTTCGACTGATATCTACTAGTAAGCATGCGAAAAGTTGACTTCAGTGAGTCAAAATCATCGAAATACTTGAACCTAATCACTACATATTCCATATATATCGAAAATTGTTTTCCGAACGATTGTTCTGAAGCTATGATGCTTACTAATGAAACGTTTTCGAGTGATTTCGAAAGATTTCAAACTTATAAAAATTGAAAAATACTTTATTGCTTAGACGCTTCATTTTCGAAGTTTTAGAAGCTATTGAATAAATACAATAATGGAGGTGTGAACGTAAGTACTTACGATTACCAAACTTTAATCGTCTCACTCAATTATGTACAAACTATTATTTTTCTATGAAAAATCCTGCTTAAATTAGTATATGCAAGTACTACAATAAGTTTATTTGATTTTATTCGAAACTCTGATTTTTAGTTTTTCAATGATATAAATAAAAAAAAATTTCTAAGAATTATTGATTTATATTCAATATTATCTTTAGAGTTCAGTTATTATTAAGAAAATTTATTTGACAAATAAAATACACATTATTAAACAAATAAGAATGATTAAGAAAGAATACAATATTTTTTTCAAAATTCATTTTTGAAACATCAGCAACTATTCAGTGAATACTATTGTTCTTTCATGAAAATCAGAAAAAGTAAAGAAAATATATACCACGATTGCAATCATGATTCTTGGATAACATAAAACAAGTCCCAGAAATTTATTTGACGTTACCTATTAGATATCACTGTCTATAAGGTAAGTTAAAAACTTGAGCGATACAATTCTTCAACATTAAAATCGTCAAACTGATTTTAATGATGAATTCAACAATAAATGTTAAATTTTAGATGAACGAACAGCAAAGACAAACTTTTGCAAAAGTTCAATTGTAGAAAATTTTTGTATTTTTGAAATCCAAATGAATAATCAGAAGTTTGTGCATTCAAATATATTTTATACATAAAAATATACATAATCATTTATATTTGTTTCATTTTGCATCATGAGTAATTCTTCTTCTGTTCTTCTACTAATAAAATTTCAGTGAAATTCATTGCCAAACAAATGTTTCATATTCTTTGTACGTAACTTAAATATGTCTATTACTCACATGATATGTTCAAATGAAGAGAAGAAAATGGCTTTTTCAAAAAACTTGTATAGTATAATCTATAAGATCATCAGTGACAAATCAGTTATATATAAGTATGAACTGTATGCAACTAAATAATTGTGCATACACTTCAAAAGGTCAGTTTTTGCTAAGCCATTTTATTCAATGTCAAAAAAAACTTTCTTATTCAATGACATATCACCAAAAGATGATTGATCATGAGACAAAGTATTTAGATTTAATTCATTGTATATGAAAATGAATACTGAATTATCATCACGGCACCATACCATTCCTTATAGCTAAACATGCGAACGAAAAATTATATGAATTTTTAGCACACCATCACTGGACGAGACATTGAATAAATAGAATCAAGTTTCATATCTGTGGAATATTATTTCAATTTGTCAATCGAAGAACGTCATTTTACTTCGATAGGGTATAAACTATGACAACGACATCGACAGTGGCAAAAAAAAGAAAAATCCAAATATGTCGCAGATGTCACATAGCCGAGAGAAAGAAAAGAAAAAAAAAATAAATTTATTTTTTTTTCACATATTTTTTTTTAACATATGTATTACGTTGAAGAATAAAAAGGTATTGAGTCAATTATTACTAGAGTATTTTAAGTCAATATAATTTCAAGTAATCTGAATTTTTTTTTTCAAAAATATTTTCAAATTAGAAGTGTACTCGTTTATTTACTGTGCATTTATATGTCTATTTTATTTTCCTAACTACGATTGATTATCTTGTAGATTAATAATTATGTTTGAAACAATTATAGCTTCATTTATCAAACGTTATGTATCACGCTATATTGATATTAATGCTGATCAATTATCTGCTCAACTTCTATATAAACAACAAATTATTATTGAAAATTTAACTTTAAATAAAACAACAGTTAATGAAGATATTCATACAATACTTAAATTACCAATAAAAATTGAATCAATTCATATTGATAAAATTCAATGTTCATTTGTTTGGAGTTCATTATTTTTTCGTTCATCATCAGCTGCAATGATTATTAAAATTGAAGGTATTCATGCAGTTATTATAGAAAATGAGAATGAATTTTTAATAGAAACTATTGAAGAAAATAATCAAAATAAAAAACGTAATCAACTTGATTTAATTGAACAACAATTAGAAAAAGAATTTGAATGTTTTGGTGAAGTTAAATCATCAAGATGGAATATTAAACGATTATTTATGTCTTTTTTTGAGAAATTACAAATTGAAATTATTGATATACATATCAGTTATAAAAATTCTACATTTTATACAATTGGATTAACTTGTGATTCAATTCAAATTTCAAACGAACCATCGAATGAAGCAATTAGTCGACAAATATTTCGAATAGTTAATCCAGGTTTTTATATTGATATTAATAATCCTTCAACACATTCCTATATTCTTTCTCCACCAATTTCTATGGAAATTTATCTCATACATAATCATTTTCTAATTAATCAAAAAGAATATTGTTATGAATTTCAATGTACATTCAATGATTTAAATATGAAATGCAATAATGAACAAGTTCGTATTTTAACTGATATTATTCGTTCTATTCAACATACAAGTCTTCATCGAATGTTAATCTCAGATTCGAATAGACCTCATTCAAAGATTTCTAAACAAACAGCTAAAGCTTGGTGGCGTTATACTATTTTAGCTGTTCTTCGAACACAAATTGATTCAAAAAATTTGACTATAAATTTTTGGTTTGATCGTTCTTTATTAATATATCGACTACATCAATTAATAACGTATAAACGTTTATATCGAGCATATCTCGATAAGAAATATGGCAAATATTCAAATTTTTCTTTTCAAGATGAATTAACAATGAATAATATTGAAATAGAATTTAATATAAAACATCTTATAATTATACGTCGTTCGATTTTTCAAATGCGAATTAATGAACAATTAAATGACAAAAAACAAGAAACAATTGGATGGTATTCAAATTATGCTAAATGGATTACATCAAAAGTAATTGAATTATGGGAACGAATGCTTACATCAGAGAATATGAATACTAATTTAAATGAAAATGATCTAAAATTTCAAGAACAAGTAAATACATTTATTGCAGAATCAATCGAAGATGAAGATCTAGCAGAAAATTGTCATAATTCTCTTATTTTTCGTTTTAAATTTACACTTAAATCAGTACAGATCGATCTTTTATCATCAAACAATACTATTCTTTTCAATTTCTATTTAAAAAATTTATCCTTAATGACTGAATTTCGATTACGTCATCAATCGATACTTACTTCTATCTATCTTGAAGATTTATATCTACGTGATCAAGAACAAATAGATAAATTTTCTAAAATGATATGTTCAAAAGAAAGATCACAGCAAGAGTAAGTTATCTATTCAATTAAGAATAAAATAGAATATGTAAATTTATAATCTATTTTCACAGTGAATCACAACAAGTACCTATTTTTCAACTTACATTTGAGAAGAAAATCAAATCAAAAAGTTTAAAACAATCTATATATTCAATTGATATTCGTAGTTGTGGTCTTCGTATAGTTTGTTGTCCAAAATCTATTGAACGATTATATCATTTTTATCTTTCAGCTTTTAGTCAATTTCCTCGATCGTTATCATCAACTTTTTATAATTGGAAACAAATTAAAAATTATGTAGTTCAAAATTTGATGTCAGTATTGGAACCAATCATACCTACACATATTACTAATAATAATAAAGTGAAAAATTTTCATCTACAAAATTTCAAACAAAATCAACATCGAGAAAAGAAAATATTTCATACATATATAAATATAGGTGCTCCAGAAATTATCATTCCTCTACTATCACATGATACATTAATAATTGATCTGGGTTGCTTGATATTGACCAATGATTCTGAAAACAAAAGTGATACTGTAACATCATTAATAAACACTGCATTTACTCAACAACAATTTCAAGAGAATGATGATGAGGCATTTTTAACACCTGATAGTTCACCTGAGGCAATTGATAATCTATCAGAAGTAGAAACAACATTTTATTCAATCAATATAATTCCAACAGATCAAATTGATGATCATATTGTTGAATATTCTACTTTAAAACTCTCAATTAACGATATACAAATTGGATATTCAACTGATTTCTCGCAGATAGTAGAAAGATTTAGCGTTTACTTTGTTGTTCAACATCGAGTAAACCATTTATGGCCATTAGTCAATATTTCAGGTACATTACAAAAGATTATTGTTCATTTGAATTCAGAAAAAATTCAAAATCTTTGTTGTACTATCAATCCTTGGATTACATTTATCGACAATTTTGTCACTAAATCACATTATCAGTTAAATATTTGGCCTGTGTTAAACCTTCATTTAGATGAAATAAATATTCTATTAAATGATAAGTCTCAAATTCTATGTGATATTCATATACAAAATATTGATCTATCATTAATTAATACAGATCATTCGAAAAATTTAACTTTTATTTTACAAACTTTGACAATTTTCGATTGTACACAAAAAATTGGAGAGAACTATGAAATTTTACTAAAAACAAATCAAGTTTTAAATGTAAATGAACCTTTTATTCGTGCTAATATTAATTTCTTGACAAAATCTCAAATTTCTGAATGTAATTCAATAATTGATATCAATACAGATAAGCTTGATTTTGTTTTTAATTCTAAAACAATTTGTACATTAGTCAATTTTTTATTGGATATCAATCTTTTTTCTTGGAATCGAACAATATTAAGAAGTATGGATAATTTGAGCAATTCTACAATCTATAAAATAAATGGTAAATTTCGAGAAATTAATGTTCTCTTTATTAATATAACACCAAACATATTACCAACTGAAGTTCATGTACGAAATATCTCTTTAAACATCTTATTGAATCCATTTTCAAAATTTGAAATAACTCTTAGTGATGTACAAATTTTTAATCAATTAAATACTTCACAACAATCTTCCAATGCTTTGATTATTGATGATGAACAAATAAATCTTATTTTGGATATAAGTACTCATTCAAACAATCATGAAGAATCACAAAATACAGCATTACATTTATTATTAATAAATACGAATGACAACGATTATAATTTATCAATAAAAATTATTTCTATTTCTTATTTTCATTCACTTAATATGATCTATAATATTCAACAAATTCTTAACTATATAAATCAACATTGTCATTTGATAGTAAAGCAAAAAGTTAAAAGCGAAAATGAAATCATATGGCTATTCAATCATTTTACTCATTTAATAAAATTTCCTAATAAGTCAATAATCTCTTCACATCAATATACTTTGAGTATTGATCTTCATACATTAACAGTTATTTTTCCAATGAATATTATCATACAACTTGATAAGACTCATATCAAAAATGGTCATGATCAATCATCAGACTATGAAATTAATATTGATCGAATAAATTTACTTCCAATGAATTTCACTGATGAAATTCGATCAAAAATTAAAATGAATTATATTCATCGTTCACAACATTTATTTTGGCAATTTCTAGAAAATATTTCTATGTCTGTCAATCTTCAACTATCTGATGGATCGATAATGATTGATTCAAAATTAATTTCTCCTCTTCGAATATTTCTTAGCCAAAATCGAATAAAATATGTAGAAGAAATTCTAAAAGCAATATCTCCTCATAATACAACATTATTATCTAAATTCACTTTTCATTTACTTTCATTTCAAATGATTATTATCTTTCAAACTGATCATAATTATGAGTTAATGACAATATGTGAAGCAATTCTAGATCAATGTCAAATATCATATGAGCAAGATTATCCTTATCATAAAAGAATTGCTCTTCAATTTGATTCTCTTCAAATTAAAGATCGTTTGATAAATTTTGAAGAATATCTTATTGTATTAAAATTTCCATCATTGATTGAACTAAATATTCATCAAGTTGATAATCAACATCAACAATTCAATGTCAAATTTGGTAAAATTAACATAAAATTTGTCAAATTGACATGGATAATATTGTTAGAAATAATTGAAATATTTCATAATGAAATTTTTTCATCAAAAACTACTGGTAAGAAAATTGACATTCAATTAAAATGAAATTCGTGTTATCGATTGATTACTTGTTTTATTTTTTCATTTTCAGAGATTCAAAATAAAGAACAACATATCATGTCCATTGTTGATGATTCAATGGATATCTCAATCAATATTGATTCTATTTCATGTCTTTTTCAGGATGATATAGTATCACTTATGAACATTGATCTTCAACGTTTTGTCATTCAAATTCAGACTTGTTCAAAACAATCAGTAGTATCATTAATTATCAATAGTCAACTTGGTTTCATTTCTATACATGATCTATTAACTTCCAATCAATTTTATAATGAACGGCTTTGTACAACTGGTACGAATGCAATTGTCTTCAGTTTCACTACAAAAGAAAATTCAGCAAAAATTCTAGATACTAATTATTCAATTCATCCTCAATTACATTTACGATTAACATCAATTCAATATATTCATACACAATATTTTCTTCTTAATCTTATTGATTTTTTAAATCGTTTTCGACAGAATGGAGATTTCTATAATCGACTTCAAACGTTAGTTATCAAACCAATCATTTCCAATACGGTTCGACCATTGAATGAAATTCTTTGGAATACTGAAATTGAAAATATGATTCTTATATTACCTGAAGATATACTGAAAAAATCAGTATTCATCTTTCAATTAGATTATATTAATTTCAATAATCATTTTCTCTTTCAAAACAAATCGAAAATATCAAATACTTTAAAAGATCAAATAAAAAAAGTTTCTCGACTCGATTTCATTTCAATAGAAATAAAAAATATTGAATTTTATTCTACATATTACTGTTTATTCAATGAAAATATTTCAACATCTATTCGTTTTTCAAAATTTGGATTTAGTCATACGTACGGTGAACGTTTATCTATGGTTCGTGAACGATTTCATTTAAACATAAAAATAGAACATAATCTTGATAAATCAATTAATAATACATCACCAACATATATCATCAAAATGAATCTCTCATCCATTGATATTCTCTTCGATTTAAATCAATATCGTCTCATACAAAATATTATTGCTTCTAATCTCAATGAAGAATCTACTATTATGATAAACAATCTATTTAACTCTTTATTAATAGTAAAGAATGATGTTTATGTTGATTTTGCTGTCATTATTGAAATTGATCGTGTCGGATTGGAAATATTCGTGTTTGATATTGATTTGTTATCATTCAATCATCGTCGATCGTTAGGTTATTCTGGATTAACAAATCTTCATATTTCATTCGATCACTATTTTAATGGAAATCAATCCTTACATCTTTTTGCTTCTACAATTCAACTTCTGAATACACAAATTTCAAATGGAAATATGATCATTTCATTATCGATGCCTTCAAATTCTAGTCAAATTGAAATTCATCTATCAAAAACAAAGCTTGACAAAAAATGTACAATAACATTAAATTCTGTACGTTTTCTATTAGTTGTTGATTGGTTACTTGAACTTAATGAATTTCTAAATTCATTCTATGAACAACAATCTACAATTAATACTAGTATTTCAATCATATCATTCGATATCAAACTTGATTTAAATCAATTTGAACTTGTATTTGTTCCAAGTATAAAAGATCCATATGCTAATGCACTCGTTTATTCTAGTACAATAATTCTTCATTATAAAAAAGGAATTCGACCATTGGAATGTTCAATAACTGATTTAACATTTTTTACATGTCAAATTGGTTGTATTGATGAAACAACAATGTCTATCATCGAACCCATTGATTGTTCCTTTAATGTTTATATATCGAATGAAATGCTTAATGAACAAACATGTAAACTTAATATTCCTATATTAAATATTCGTCTTTCATATTCGAATATTAAAATAATATTATCGTTGGTTAATTTAATATACAAGCAAATATCTCAAGCAAAAACTCGAAAACCTTTATTAACATATTTTACTGGAATCATTATATCACCTTTAAAAAATTATCAATCATCTGAAAATATATTTTTAAATATAAAATTTTTAAAATTTATTTGTGATGAAATATGTTTATGTCTTATTGATGATTGTTTTGGTGTAAATATTCCTTTATTGAATATCAATTTAAAATTTTTTAATTTACAAACAATTGAAAATAGTGATTCACATCGTACAGATCAAAGTGAATTTCAATTAAGTATATCATATTATAATCGATTTCAATCTGGATTTGAACCATTAATTGAAATATGTCAATTACAAATGATTTTTAGTAGATCATCATCATCGTCCATTTCATTATTTATTTCTTCGAATGAAATACTTAATTTAAATTTTACAAAAGCAATGTATCGTTTGTATAATACAATTAAAACAAATTGGCTAATTGATTATCAAAATTCGAAGAATGATATTACAATAAATATATCGAAAAAAGAAATTGGTTTTCATCGTGTAAAACCATTAGATTCATATTGTTTTAAGAATTTAACTGGTGTTCAAATCAAATTTCGTACATGGATAACAGTTGAACAACGATTTACAAATGATGAAAATATTGTTGATGATAATCAAACAATTTCATTTTGTTTTCCTACTCGTTCATCTGAGTTAAATAAGAATATAAATCAACATTCTAAAATGAGAGCACGAACAAATTCAATTGTTGCATCATTATTTCAAACTGATCGTCGTCTATTAATTTCAATCGATGGTTGGCAATGTTTACAACCAATATCAATTGATCGTATTGGTAAATTTTTTCGATTAGCTATTCCATCCAATCATAATCAATTAGTTAAACCAATTCTTGTTACTATTGATATTGCTATGACAGATAATTCAATACGTTCAATTACAGTAAAATCTTCTATCGAAATACGTAATCAACTATTAACATCAATCGATATTCGATTCGAATGTAACTTCGATTTATCATACGAATTTTGTTTAGAACCAAATGAAATTCGTTCATTACCTATACAATTTTGTTCAATACTTAAACAAATTCAAGTTCGACCTGCTAATTTTGCTCTCGATTATTGTGATGATCCTATTAATTGGTTAGAAATTGAAAATGAAAATACAATAGGTGTACAAAGAAATGATAACAAGTAAGATAAGTTTATATAATTTAATGTAAAATTTATATTTATATATATTTTCAAGATCTAGTACTAGAAAATCTTCAACATTCGAAGAAAATACAATCAATCGTCAGTCATTTCTTCGTAGATGTTCAATCAATGGAAAAGAAGCAGTTTATTATGTATGTTTTCAATCAAAACAAACTTGCCTTTTAACCTATCAAGATCATACATTTTCACTCTATGAATTATCTATTTTTCCACCGTTAACAATTTATAATTTACTTCCATGTACATTAAATTTTGAAATACCATCTCATCCTCAAAAGTTTGAACTTAGTGCATATAAATTTCACAAAGAACATGTATTAAATATCGCTCAAGGTATAAATATTATCTTTGCTACTAATCTCTATCATATGAATAAACCAATATGTTTACCATCAATAAATGATCTTCATCGTATGAAATATACTCATCAACGTATTATCTTCTATGATAATAGTCAACGAGAATTAATTGTTGATATTACAATTGTATGTATTGTTAAATATCGTCTAAAACTTTTTGTATCTGTTCCCTATGTCTTATTAAATAAGAGTGGTAATATTTATAATTATGATTAATTTCATTTTTCAAAAATATTTCTTTTAGGTATTCCATTAATATTCAAAGATATAAATTCACGAGTTGAAGCAGCTGGACAAAATAAAGAAGATGAAATAGCATTAAATCGAGAACCATTACTTTTTTCATTCAATGATTCGAATCGTAATAATACATGCGTAATGAGAGTAGGCACTGGTTTACATCTTCATCAAGATGGACGTCCTCAATGGTCACAACGATTTAGTTTAGAACATGGTTCTACTTATCGACAATTAAAAGTACGTTTATCACGTAATTCATCTGATTGGAATTATTCTATTAGTATTGATGTTCATTCTGGACATGGTCATTTGAAAAAGAAAACAAAATTTATTTTTTTCAATGCACGTTATATTATTTGTAATCAAAGTTCATATGATTTATTGATTGCACAACGACACATAGTAGATAATACTTCTAATTGGCTTCATGTATTACAACATGCAAATGTTGCTTATCATTGGCCACGTACTGATATTGAACAATTATTATGCGTACGAGTTATGGATGATGATCAATATCCATTGATTCATTGGTCGGGTGGTTTTCAAATTGATTCTATTGATGCATTTCATATCAATATGAGATATGAAAATGGTCAATGCTTAATACTTCGAGTACAAGTTATTGAACGAAATGGCACTTATTTTGTTGTATTTATGGATTCGAATCAAATGCCAGTTCCATTTCGTATTTATAATCGATCTAATGTACCGATTCAATTCTATCAAACGGAAACTCGAGAAGATCTAAGTCATTTACGTACGATAATTCAACCACATCAGTCAATCGATTATGCTTGGGATGAACCAACATTTAAACCAACCATTACTTGCTCAATTATAGATGGTACTAAAGCAACCTATGATCTTCTTAAACTTGGTTCTGCCGATGATTTACACTATCAAAATTATATCTATCTCACTTTTGAAGAAACATTTCATAGAGAAGACCTTACAGAATTATTATCTACAACAAATAAGGCTAACAATATATCACATTCTTCATATCAGCAGCTTGTCATTGAATATATCGATGGTCGATTATTACTATCAAAACTTCAAGAAAATAAACGTTCACAATTATGGCAGATGACAAGTAATGGCCTATTGATTCATGTAGGATCATCACCATCATCATTTCAAGATTCAAATACGAAGAAAGAATATCTTGATGATATTCGACATGCATTTGTCTTAGATATCAAAGATTCAACTGATAATGTTTTAAGTCATCTAATGACACGTTCTATGCCACTGATAGTGAGACGTTATGATTCCAAACGAACATTTACACAAACTTGGCAGTTTCTTGATAATGGTTGTTTGTGTATGGCAAATACACAGATGTGTGTTCAAGTTTTTGGAGAATTAAACGAAAATAGTGATGTAGTTCTTGGACCGATTATGTAAGACTCTTCTGTTCTTTTCTTTTTTGACAATCACACATATCATCTACTTTATGTTTAGTGAGAATAAAAATTTGTTACCTGCAGCAACTATGCATATTCGTTCTCATCAACGTTATAAAGGTTCTGGTGTTTTATATACACGTGTAATTGCTGATGGGCCCACAAATGTGCTCGAAATAGATCATATAAAAACAACTGACTCGCCAATTATAACTACTATCTTATCATCATCATCGACTATTTATCATCTTGATCTTCATTTTCCATTTGGTGTTGGTATATCTGTTGTAGGTTCGATTGGTCATGAATCGGAAGAACTTATATATGTTCTCGTTAATAATGTTCATATCGAATATAATGATAAAGATCATGAACAATCAATTGAAGCAACAATCGATACTCTTATTGTTCGTTTTAATTATTTCATCTATTAAACTAGAGATTTCTTTTCATTTTATTTTATTTTTATGTCTAGATTTCAAATCAACTTTTAACAACAACAAAACCATGTTTGCTCTATGCATCCTATACTAAAGATACATCAACTCAATCAGCTATTCGTTTACAAGTAAATTGGAAAAAATTCAATGCTAATTTCATGTAAGTCATAACTTTTTCTATTTAAAAAGAAAAACATTAATATATTTAGTCTTCTTCGTATTATTCGTTATCTTCGTCTTGATCTCAATTCAATCGTAATTCAACTCGATGAACTTCTTTTATGGAAATTAATCGATTTTTTTGATATTGAAATCTCATCATTATCCGCATTACTATTTAAAGCTGCTGGTATCGGTAATAGTTCTAATTCTGATCGTAAAATTGATCTAAATGTAAATGATTACGATACGGAACGAATTCTATCATTACTAACATCAACACATGCTACTCGAATCTATTTTAATAAACTTTATTTATCACCTATTAATCTCAAGTTAAGTGTATATTGTATTCATTCAAAACGATTGCTTCCAATGCATTTATTAGCTATTAAACGACGTGCATCATTTCCTCTTGTTCCTTTTGAAAATGCTGAAATAAATTTAAGAACTTACGAACAAACACATATTTCTAATACATATGATTTTTTTCTATTCTCAATAATGACACATTATGTTAATGTTTGTACACGACAAATATTGAAAATTGTAGGTAGTGTTGATTTTCTTGGAAATCCACTTGGATTAATTCATGATGTAACCAATGGTTTAACTTGTCTTGTTGATCAAGGTAGTGTAAGTGGTCTAGTTAAAAATGTAACACATGGTGTTGCTGATTCAACATCAAAAGTTACAGGTTCACTTTCACATGGATTGGGTAAACTTGTTTCGGATAATGAAACTGACAGTCGACGACAAGCTATAGCAGATCATCGTCGAGGTTCAACACTTGGTCATGCTATTCGACATGGAACAGTTGGTTTAGCTGCTGGATTTTATGGTGGATTGACATCAATGATTAAACAACCATATAAAGGTGTTGTTGAAGAAGGTGTTCCTGGACTTGTTAAAGGCGTTGCAAAAGGTATTGTGGGAACAGTAAGTAAACCAATGGTTGGTATACTCGATTTTACAAATGAAATGGCAACAGCTATTAAAGAAGGTTCACGTTCATCAAATACAAATTTGCATAGTCGTACAAGGCCAATACGATGGCCATCAAATAGTTTATGTCTACTTCAATCTTATTCAATTTTTGATGCTCAAGGTCATTATTTACTTTACAAAATCAACAAAGGCAATATGACTGAACGATATATTTCACGACTTACTCTTTCTACAAAACCAACCAATACGTCAGATAAACGAGTAGTGACTACAAATAGTCACCGTAACAAATTTACGTCAGATCGAAGAGATGCCTATGTCGATGTAAGTTTAGTTTATTTTAATTATATATTTTTTGTATGCGAATGTATACTTTTCAATAGGCAATGATCACTACTCAACGTGTAATTATATATCAAAGAATAGGTGATGAACCTGATATATTCAAATTTGAAATTATTAATAGTTACGATTTCAGTACATCAATGACAGTTGTTCCTATCGGTTTGTAACTAATTTACATTTCTTCTTCTATAATTAATACATATCGAAGAAATTAGAATTCTGGTCGATGATCTCATCGCTCATAGGAATGCATTGATGGATGAGACTAATCTTCATATCTTCTGACAGATCTAGCATTTCGAATGACTGACCTATAAGTCTAAAAGTCATTTAACATATAGATGATTTTATATACGCAAAATGAATAGAAAAATGAGATTGGAAGTTGATGCAAGATAGATATGAATAATTTAAAGTATTAACATTTAACAAAAATTTGACCTGTCTTTAAAGACAAGTGTAAGATTTAGTGATTGGACTCTATAAAGAAAATATTCAGTACAAAGTCAAATCTAGGTTCTATCTACTTGAGTCTTCCAGGACAATCCAAAATTCAGTTTGTCTCATAGAACTCTTTCACCTACTCTCTTTAAATTAATGAAATCTCACTAGACGACATAATCAAATTTTTCTTAATAGAAGATGATGATGGTCATACTTATATTCGATTTCTCATTGATTCCAATACTTCCACTCTGTCAAACAACACATCGAACATATCTCACCAGTGTATTCATCGATGTGATACTCTTGACCAAGCCAAATTGTTCATCCACGAAGTACAACGAGCACAAGAGATATTTCAAGAAGAAAAAATGATTTATGTGACATCCGATGATGAATACGACGATATTTATAGTGATAATCTCAATGATCAACAAACTGAATAATAGTTTTCAATTTATTTAATTGATTTTTTTCATCATGTTCGAAAAAGAACAAAAAAAAGTAACACAACCAAGAAAAAAGTACATAAGAACAATTGAAGATAGGTGAGATTATTTTACAACAAAGAAACAAAGATCTTTTAAAAAAGACCTTTTTTTTTGCTGTTTTTCTAAAAAAAAAAAAATAAATTTTCATTCAATGGAATAAAATCAAACTTTACGT